TGACCCCAGGACGTTGCGGCCGTCATAATTAAGAGTCAGTTGCCAAGTGTCCGAATTTTGATCACGTGACCCTGCGGATGCCGCAACGGCCGTAAGTACAAAAAAATGGCCATAAGTCACTTTTTTCAGTGCTGTTGCAACTTGGGATCGTCACTAAATGAACTGTCGTAAGTTGACTACCTATCTTTCAGAACAGGGACAGAAGAAACCGTGGTCCAGAGGCTGCTACCATCCCACACACACACACACACACAATGCCTTTGTGTGTCTTCCCAGAATGGCGGGGGGGGGAGAGAGACAAAGCTTTGTAAAAAGGCATGTCCTGATTCAAGCAAAGCGATTGTGGGTGGATATTACTTGATGCAGGCAGAATAACTCCATGGAAGGGATTCGTGCACATTACTTTATCCATCAGGCATCCTCAAGTCAATAATTTACAGTTACTGTAGAGATTCTTCTGAAATATAGGCTGTAATCTGGACCCATCACATAGGTAAAAGGAAAATAGATTCTTCCATACTAACGAGCTACTTCTCCTCGTGGCTGGTATTCATAGAGATCTCGCTGACTGGATATCCCGTAATAAAACAAAAGTCCCTCCCAGTGGCCAATCCTAACACAGATATGACCAGGTAACATAAACTACATTACCCAGAAGGCTATCCCTTAAGGGAACAGTTTTTAATTCCTAAGCTAGCTATTTTCGGTCACCACGATGTAAAAAAGATGCTGAGACTCTAGAAAGAGTTCAGAGAAGAGCAACAAAGATGATTGGGGGACTGGAGGCTAAAGCATATAAGGAACGGTTGCTGGAATTGGGTATGTCTGGTTTAATGAAGAGAAGGACGAGGGGGGACATGATAGGAGCCTTCCAGTATCTCAGGGGCTGCCCCAAAGAAGAGGGAGTTAAGCTATTCTCCAAAGCATCTGAAGGCAGGACAAGAAGCAATGGATGGAAACTAACCAAGGAGAGAAGCAACCTAGAACTAAGGAGGAACTTCCTGACAGTTAGAACAATTAACCAGTGGAACAACCTGCCTCCAGAAGCGGTGAATGCTCCAACACTGGAGGTTTTTAAGAAGAGACTGGACAGCTATTTGTCCGAAATGGTATAGGGTTTCCTGCCTGAGCAGGGGGTTGGACTAGATGACCTCCAAGGTCCCTTCCAACTTTATTATTATTATTATTATTATTATTATTATTATTATTATTATTATTATTATTATTATTATTATTATTATTATTATATGCTCTGACCAGATGGCTATATATTCTGACCAGCACAGGGCAAAAGGAAGTATTAAGTTTTGCAGAGCCATAAAAAAAAGCCCTTTTTTCACCCCTCCAAATGAAACAGGCCCAATTACGTTCCCTTTTCGAGTCAGTGCTTAACACAGAGGAGCAGGATTGTGTTAGTCAACAGTAGCCAAGAATTAGGAGGAGTTCTGGCAGCGCCTTTTCCGAGAAATATATTTTATTGAAAGGCATCAGCTTTTTGTGGCTCCATTCACTAAGATGCATTCATCAGAAAAGATGCTACCAGACGCCGATTTTAGGGTGCCTCTTTGTGCGTGAAAAACCTGTGACTATTTTCCCCACCACCACAACCCTGGGAAGCGAGTCGGGCTGAGAGAGTGACTGGCCCAAGGTCAGCCAGTTGGCTCACACAGCTCAGGTGGGACTAGAGCAGGGCTTTTCAACCTTTTCACCCATTGTACCACTTTTAGGATATGGCAACATCCAAGTACCACCAGTCGCCTAGCAGGGTGTCAAAAACTTGATGACCAAAAAAAAAAAAAGGAAAAAAGTGATGAAGTACAGGTAGTCCTCGACTTACAACAGTTCGCTTAGTGACTGTTCAAAGTTACAATGGCCCTGAAAAAAGTGCCCCCCAAGCCACAGCCAAGCAAGACACCTGCCTGCCCGCCCGGCCGCGCTCTTCCTCCTGTCCGAGGTTTTCATTGTTGTGAGCATTTCTGTTGAGGATTGGCAGCGGGGGTGGGGGGTGTTTGGTTTTTATTCCCCCCCCCCCATCTGCTAGGTGGTTGCAGCAGGTTTTGGTCACTTCACATGCTCTTGGGACACTGTGACCGTCCTAAATATGAATCAGTTGCCAAGCCTCTGAATGTAAATCACAAGACCCTGGAGATGCTGCAACATTCCAGCTGATCGGCGCTTCTTCTGGGCTCAGCGGAAGTACCAGGATCAGCACCGAGTTCCAGCTGGAGCCTGGCGCTGATCCTGGCGCTTCCGCTGAGCCCTGACAGTCCCAAAGAAGTGCTGATCCTGGTGCTTCCGCTGAGCCCTGACAGCCCCGAAGAAGCAACGATCCTGGCGCTTCCGCTGAGCCCTGACAGCCCTGCAACTCCAGCCATCTCTTACTCAGGCTTGTGAGGTGCTGCCACCAGTTCAGCCCATTCCCCTCCCTCACTACCACTTTTCTAGGATAGTCGCGTACCACCTGCCAGGTGCCAATGTACCACAGGTGGTACCCGTACCACTGGTTGAAAAGCCTTGGACTAGAACTCCCGTCTCCCAGTTTCCAGCCTGATGCTTTAACCGCCCAACCAAGCTGGCTTGTGACTTCAATTTTCGGGGTGGGGTGTGTGTGGGGAGGCTGAGTTGAGAAGGTGCAGCCAACGTGCCTCTGGCTTTCCTCCTCCGTCCAGGTCAAGCTGGGTTCCCCGTGTATAAGTACGTCCCCTACGGCCCCGTGAAGGAGGTCCTGCCTTACCTGTCCAGGAGAGCCCAGGAGAATCGGGGCCTGCTGGTGCGAGCAGAGGAGGAGCAGCAACTACTCTGGACTGAGCTGAAGAGGCGCATGTTTGCGGGGGCCCTCTTCAACGCACCCAGCCCCCCGTAAGCGGTTCTCCCCGGCTGCCTCAACACGGGGGCTGCTTGGACACAGAGCCCAGTCGGACCAAGTTGTGGACGCTTCCTTGCTGGCTGACCGGATCCTGCCTCACCTGTTGCCAGGGCGGAAGAGTTTCTCGGGACCCGGGTGCCTGGCAACAGAAGCCCCCAGTGTAGCAGCTACTCCAGCATCACACGCCTTTGAGGCACCTGCCCGTTGCCACCCCCACCCCCAGATTTGACACCGGGTACTCCGGGCTACCGAGTGACGGGGCTCAGAAACGCCTCCTCCGTCTATCACCTGTTCACTCTTCCGCTTCTTCTCTGGGGTGAAGATGGCTGTGCCAATAAAATTCTTTGCCGCAACCGCTTGAGTGACAGCCGGCTCGCAAAACTGCAATCTATCTAGCCACCGTTTATTAGCTAATCAAGCAGAGACTTGGAAAAGGGAGTTAAGGTTAAATGATCAGAAGCCAGCGTGGGTTTGTTAAAAACAAGTTGCGCCAGACAAATCTTAAGTTTGCTTTGATAACCTAGCTAGATGGTGGATGAAGAGAATGATGTGGATTGATTGTGCCCAGACTTTAATAAGGCTTTTGGGGGAAAAAGGGGGGGATACAGCCCCCTTGAATAATTTGAAGAAGTAGGATTGAGGCATTTACAGCTGCCTGAGCTATTGTCACAAGCACATGGTCCTTAAGGAGCCCATGTCCAAAAGGAACGGAGAGGTGCAAGGGGTAATGGATGGAATGGGGCAATGGATGGAAACTAATCAAGGAGAGAAGCAATCTAGAACTAAGGAGAAACTTCCTGACAGAACAATTAACCAGTGGAACAACCTGCCTCCAGAAGCAGTGAATGCTCCAACACTGGAAGTTTTTAAGAAGAGACTGGACAGCCATTTGTCCGAAATGGTATAGGGTTTCCTGCCTGAGCAGGGGGTTGGACTAGATGACCTCCAAGGTCCCTTCCAACTTTATTATTATTATTATTATTTGGTATATGGGTACCTGGGGTTCCAGCCTGGACCAAGACTCTTCAGTATCTTCATAAATGTCCAAGATGAGGAAGAGAGGGGTACTTATAATGTTTGTAGATGACACAAACCTTGGGGGGGGTTGTTAACATGCCAGAATACGGGCTCAAGATTCAAAAGATCTAGATAGACTTGAACACTCAGCCCTGTCTAGTAACATGTTCAGCGGTGAGACATTTTGGCTAGAAAAACCCAGATGCACAGGTGCAAAATAGATACCTGGTTTAGCGGTAATATTTGCAAGGATCTGGTGTCCTTGTAGACCACAGGTTTTGCATGACCCAGCATCTGGCCACAGCTGCTAATAGCACCAGTGTAGTAGAGATAGAGACAGGATCATAGGAAGTGAGAGCACCACTCTATGCAGCACTAGTTGAAACACACACACACACACACACCGTGGGCACTCCATTACTGGAGGTTTTTAAGAAGAGACTGGACAGTCACTTGTCTGAAATGGTATAGGGTCTCCTGCTTGAGCAGGGGGTTGGACTAGAAAACCTCCAAGGTTCCTTGAAATTCTGTTCTGCTTTTTAAAAAGCTTCCTCACCAGAGGACAGGAGGCATTTCTGCTCTCCTGCTGGTTTAAATACTACTTAAGCACCCTTTGAAATAAAGTTTTACAGTGGTAATTTCCAACTCTCTAAAATTACAGTGCTGTATAAAACTTTTCAGAGTAAAACAGTGCTTGTATGGAGGGAACAGCACAGGAGGGTGGCAGAAATAAGGTAGTAAAAAGTTCAATTGCAGCACATGGAGAATAAAACAAGCTTTGCTGACTTTGAAGGTGGCACAAGGCAGGCCTGCCTGGGAACTGCACCCAGGAAGGTGCCTGGATGTAGGCAGCAGACGTCCTGTGGATGCAGCTGTCTTCAAACAAGGGCTGCACTGGCTGTGAATCCTGGCAGTTTGAACTCCCAATAGGTCTGAAGGCACCAAGCTCCGCTTTTCCATTCAGTCACCTGACCAAGCTTTCATGCACAGAGCAGGTTCTCTGCCCACTGATGGGATGCCTTAAGTGGCACTCAGCTGCATCACTAGAGGTGAAAACATATGAAGGACGGTTACAGGAACTGGACATGGCTGGTCTAGTGAAGAGAAGGACCAGGGGAGACAGGATAGCAGAGCTCCAATATTTGAGGGGCTGCCACAGAGAGGAGGGGGTCAGACTATTTTCCGAAGCCCCTGAAGGCCAGACAAGGAATAATGGATGGAAATTGATCAAGGAGAGATTCAACCTGGAAATAAGGAGAGATTTCCTGACAGTGAGAACAATCAACCAAAGAAACACACTGCCTTCAGATGTAGTTAATTCTATTCTATTCTATTCTGTAATTCTATTCTATTCCATATTCTATTCCATATTCTATTCCTTCCGTATTCTATTCTATTCTATTCTATTCTGTAACTCTACTCTATTCTGTAATTCTATTCTGTAATTCTATTCTGTAATTTATTCTATTCTATTCCATATTTTATTCCGTATTCTATTCCTTTCCGTATTCTATTCTATTCTATTCTATTCCGTATTCTATTCTGTATTCTATTCCTTTCGTATTCTATTCTATTCTATTCTATTCTATTCTGTAATTCTACTCTATTCTGTAATTCTATTCTGTAATTCTATTCTGTATTCTATTCTGTATTCTATTCCTTTCCGATTCTATTCTATTCTATTCTGTATTCTATTCCTTCCGTATTCTATTCTATTCTGTTCTATTCTGTTCTGTTCTGTAATTCTATTCTGTAATTCTATTCTGTATTCTATTCTGTATTCTATTCCTTTCCGATTCTATTCTATTCTATTCTACTCCATATTCTATTCTATTCTATTCTATTCTATTCCTGTTAAGGTTCAACCACGGCTCTAAGATAGCCGTTCTGCTAAGGATGACTTCTGCTTCAGCCTGCAATCCAAACGACTTCCACTAGATGGCAGTGCACCACTCCATTCGGGACAGCCCAGCTGCAGGAGAAAACAGCATTAATCTGTATTAGGCTGGGCCAGGAACCTGCAGGCAGGAGGGGAGCAGCATCCCTGGCCTGCATTGCACCGGGTCCTGGTCCCCCCACTTTTGCCACTGGTTCAGCTCATTCCCCTCCCCCGCTACCACTTTTCTAGGATGGTCGCGTACCACCTGCCAGGTGCCAACGTACCACAGGTGGTTCCCGTGTTCTAGTCCAACCCCCCTACTCAAGGCAAGAGACCTATGCCATCCCAGACAGATAGCTGTCCAATCTTTTCTTGGAGATCTCCAACAATGGAACATGCAGAACTCTAGGGGACAAGCTGCTCCACTGATTAATTGTTCTCAGTATCAGGAAATTCCTCCTTGGATCCAGATTGGATCTCTCTTTAATGATCTTCTACCCCTTCTTGTCCTACCCTCAAGTGCTGTGGATAATAGGTTGATCCCCTCTCTCTGTAACTGCCCATCAAGTGCTAGAAGACAGCTATCATGTCACCCCTAATCCGTCTCTTTGTTAAACTAGACATACATAGCCATTCATCACATCGTTGAATCTCCAGATCCCTTTTTTGGCTCTTCTCTGCGCTCTTTCTAGTGTCTCAGCGTCTTTTGCATCATGATGATTCAAAATTGGACACAGAATTCCAAGTGTGTCCTCACCAGGGCAGTACAGAGCAGAATTATGCTCTATGTGCGGTGGCAGCCAAAAAAAGCTAACACAATTCTAGGCTGCATTAACCGAGGGATAGAATCAAGATCACATGAAGTATTAATACCACTTTACAATGACTTGGTAAGGCCACACCAGGAATACTACATGCAGTTTTGGTCACCACGATGTAAAAAAGATGTTGAGACTCTAGAAAGAGTACAGAGAAGAGCAACAAAGATGATTAGAGGCCTGGAGGCTAAAGCATTTAAGGAACGGCTGCTGGAATTGGGTATGTCTAGTTTAATGAAGAGAAGGACGAGTGGGGGACAGGATAGCAGAGTTCCAATATCTCAGGGACTGCCCCAAAGAAGAGGGAGTCAAGCTATTCTCCAAAGCGCCTGAAGGCAGGACAAGAAGCAACGGATGGAAACTAATCAAGGAGAGAAGCAACCTAGAACTAAGGAGAAACTTCCTGATGGTTAGAACAATTAACCAGTGGAACAACCTGCCTCCAGAAGCGGTGAATGCTTCAACACTGGAAGGTTTTAAGAAGAGACTGGACGGCCATTTGTCCGAAATTGTATAGGGTTTCCTGCCTGAGCAGGGGGTTGGACTAGAAGACCTCCAAGGTCCCTTCCAGTTCTATTATTTTCTGTTGTACGTTCTATTATCACTTCTCATGATCTTGATGCTATCCCTTTGTTGATGCAGCTAGAACTGCATTGGCTTTTTTTGGCTTTTTTGGCTTTTTCCTTCCTTCCTTCCTTCCTTCCTTCCTTCCTTCCTTCCTTCCTTCCTTCCTTCCTTCCTTCCTTCCTTCCTTCCTTCCTTCCAGCACCCTTTTCAAAGCTTAGAACAAATGGGAGAGTAACAGACCAGGAAGCTACACTAGACTGCATGGGGAAAAAAGATTTTCTTCCCACAGGCAGCCTGGGATCAAAGAGAGAGAGAAGTAAACAACTGGCATTCCTTGGCTGGATTCACATGTTATGCTAAGATCCCCTTTCCTGAAAGGGGAATTTGTTCAAGGCACAGTTGTCCAGCTCCACCCTGCATCACCCAGCAAATCCCACAGCAGCTTCAAAACATGGGAATCCATCTATCCAGAGGGGCTGAGCTGGAAAAGTGACCATCACTCACTCTTTCCTCTGGCCCCAGGCACCGTTCTAGCAGGTCATATATGCGGAGAAGCCATATGTCGGTCAGTCGGGCAGAGGGGAAGGCGCTCTGTTGATTCTCAGAGAGATAGCTGGTCTTCCTGAGACTGCCCTGATACAGAAGAAGGATTGGGAAGAGGATGTGTTTTGGACCGCAGCCCCTCCCGCTCTTACACCAGAGAAACAAACACCACACAGGCTGGGCGGAAGCGGCTTCTGAGCACAAACGGTGGTGTCCTTTACATCAGGGATCCCCAACCTCCGATCTGTGGACCGGTACCGGGCCGCAGCATGCCAGCAACCGGTCCGCACAAACAAGCAAAGCCCCATCCGTGGGATGCAGGCAGCACACAAAACCGCACTCTCTTCGGTCTGCAGAAAAACCTCTCTCCACGGAACCGGTCCCTGGTGCCCAAAAGATTGGGGGCCTCTGCTTTACATCAAGCTGGGGACTTCATGGAAGGTCCATGAAGCGTTCTTGGCAAGGAGAGAAGTGTTTGGCCATGACTGCGTCTGTTGCAGGATCCCGTTTGGTCTTTCATCCAGTAACCTCTTCAGAGGATCAGCTAGGGGCTGTCATCTGCTGTGACAAAAGCCACGTGGCTCGATGTCTTGACTTCCCAGTTAGTCCAAAGCCTTGGAATTTCCGGGAAGCGTCTCCTCCGAGTGTTAAGAGAGGCCCAGCTCTGCTCAGTTTCCCAGACAGAGGAGCCGAGGGGCACCCTAGGCCAAGCTGTGGGGGCAAAACCTGGTGGACCTCCAGAAGCCAAACCGTTGAAGGGAATTCTCGGATTCCGCGGCTTTTAGTTCTCCGGAATTCTTTTGCGCCTCCCTTTCGGCGAACGCACCCCTTCCCTCTTCCTAACCCGGGTTCCGTTTTAAGCTTTCAAACTCCCGGAGACTACTCCCGGAGATCCGGGCATCGCGGACGGATCCTTCGGGGGGAAATCCCACTCTCTGCACCGTCCAGTCCCGGGCATCCAAGTCCCAGCCACGCCCGCCAAAGTCCCGCAACGCCAGGCTCTCCCGTTCACACGTTCACCGGCAAGGGCCGGTTTCCTAGGGCAGCCTACCTGGGCCGGCGAACCGCAGCGAGCCGGCGCGAGCTCCGCACAAAGCGGCGGAGACGGGAGCCCGACGGCCGCTCGGAAGCGGAGCGGAGCTGCCGGCGAGGACCGGGGCTTACATCCCCGCGCTTGCAGCCCGTCGCGCCTCCGCGGTCCGGAGCGCCTGGCCAGCTGGGGCGCGCGGGGAAGCGGGCCACGTTTCCTGACCGGCCGTCCAACACCCCCCCCCCGTCCGCCTGCTGCTCCTGCCGCCGCCGGGGGGCGAGAGGGGGCCGGGGGGGCGGCGGCTCTGGCGCTGCCGTTTCCGGCCGGGATCCTGGAGCAGCCAGCAGGAGGAGGAGCAGCCGCCGCCGCCGTCGGGGAGGCGAGCTGCCCCGGGAGGGCTGGAGAAGAGCGCAGCTCCCCACGCATGGAGGCGCCGCCGAGGGCCCGGCTGGCCGGCGGGGGAGCGGCTGCGGGGGCCGGCCGGGGGCTCCTGGCCCCGGCCCGGCTGCTGCTGCTGCTGCTGCTGCTCTTCGCGGCCGCCGGGGCTGCCCCGGAGCTGAGTCCGCGCGGGAGGAACGTCTGTCCGGCGCCGGGGTAAGCGGCCGAGGCGGGGCGGGGTGCGGGGGGCTGCCCTGGATGGTCCCGGGGCCGCTTCAGCCCGGGCAGAGTCGCGCCGGCTCCCCAAACCGGAGCCCCGGGAACGCCGCCCACTCCGACGCCCCTTCTTCCCTCCGAGGAGGGCGCAAGGCCGGGAAGGGCGTCGGGCTTTCCAGCGGGGAGAGAGGCGGCGTCCTCCGCCCGACCTGGCCTCTCTGTCCGGGGCTGAGGAACCGGGGCGTCGGTGGGGGAGCTCCAGCCACCCCCGACGGGGTCCAAGGCCGCCCCTGACAGCCCCGGTGCCCCCCATCCCACCCCCGTGGCCCGGGCGCATTTTGACAGCCGCGGCCGGGACCAGTTTTGCTCCAGGCGCCGGAGAGCTCCGGAGGGTCCCCTGTGTGTGTGTGTCTCCCCTCCCCGGGCCGAGGGACCCTCCTGAGTTGGGCTGGGGGGGGCGTCTCTTGGAGGGGCGCTCATTGAAGCCCTCTTGGAAGTCTGTCTTTGAATTCCGAGGGAAGGCTGCCAACCTCCTCTTTCCTCTCCTCTCTCTCTCTCTCTCTCTCTTTCTCTCCCTTTCGCGCTCTCTCTCTCTCTCTCTCTCTCTCTCTTTCTCTCCAGCAAAACCCGCTGTTTGCAGCGTTCACCCATCCGTGCATCCCGGCTCGGAAAGCCATTTCGGCCCCTTCCTCCTCTTTTGCCCCCCCCCTCAAAAAAGACACCCCCCCCGCCCCCCATTGTTCGCTGACAGCCATGTTGTGCCGTGAGTGCAGATTTCCAAAAGAGAGGCGGGGGGGAGAGAAATTCCACAGATAAAAGGCAGGCGCCGAGGTTTTGGGAGCGCTCCTTCCCCAATAAGTCCCNAGCCACCCCCCCCCCGCCGCCCCCCCCTTCTCTGGCCCACATTTTTCCTACCGATACACTGTCTGTCTTGCAATGGAAGGAAGCCCGTGGTCAAAGGGAGAGGGTGCAATTTAGCTTTTTGTGGGCATTACGGAATTCTCTTGTCGATTATGGGCTCTGGTTGGTATCAAATCACCCGATACTTCGACTGCAGGCTTAGAGAGATGGGGGGTTCAAACAAACGGGGTGGGGGAGATGATGGGTTTGCTTGCCTGAAACAGCAGAAGTGGCTAGAAGCATCTGCAGCTGGATCCTTGATTGGAGCACATTTCTTAACTAATGGCATTTTTTTAATTTCAGAATAGAATAGAATAGAATAGAATAGAATAGAATAGAATAGAATAGAATAGAATAGAATAGAATAGAATATATGAAATGGAATAATAGAATGGAATGGAATGGAATAGAATAGAATATATGAAATGGAAGAATAGAATAGAATAGAATAGAATAGAATAGAATAGAATAGAATAGAATAGAATATATGAAATGGAATAATAGAATAGAATAGAATATATGAAATGGAAGAATAGAATAGAATAGAATAGAATAGAATAGAATAGAATATATGAAATGGAATAATAGAATGGAATGGAATGGAATGGAATAGAATAGAATATATGAAATGGAATAATAGAATAGAATAGAATAGAATAGAATAGAATAGAATAGAATAGAATAGAATAGAATAGAGCTGGAAGGGACCTTGGAGGTCTTCTAGTCCAACCCACTGCTCAAGCAGGAAACCCTATATCATTTCAGACAAGTGACTGTCCAGTCTCTTCTTAAAGCCCTCCAGTGATGGAGCACCCACAACATCTGAAGGCAAGCTGTTCCACTGGTTGATTGTCCTCACTGTTAGGAAGTTTCTCCTTAATTCCAGGTTGCTTCTCTCCTTGATTAGTTTCCACCCATTGTTTCTTGTCCTGCCTTTCTTAAATATTAATATTTTTTAAATATTAGTAAATTAGCTCTTTCGGAGGAGCACATTCAGTGCCATTTCAAAACCTCCACTCCAGCAGGGGCAACGAACTGGCATTCTCCACAGCTTTGGGATGCAGCTCCTGTGTGCTTTTTCATTGATGTGTCAACTAGCATTGACAAAGTAAAACGCAAAACTCTATGTGGCTGTCTTGGCTTGGATGCTGCCCAGGGCATTCATTGTGGGCTGGATTTGCGCATTAGACTAACTGGAGAACTTAGAGCAAAGCATGTGGTGAGAATCCAGGCTTATAGGCATGTATCTGAGCATTTCATGAGCCCTACAATCCATGTGGGCCAGGGACGAAGCGTCTAGCTCAGGGGTAGGCAACCTTGGCTCTTTTATGACTCGTGGACTTCAACTCCCAGAATTCCTGAGCCAACATGGCTGAGCTTGGAAACTCTCCCTTTCCCCTCAGCGTGGCTGGCTCAGGAATTCTGGGAGTTGACGTCCACGAGTCATAAAGCGGCCTAGGCCTAGGCCTAGGCCAGAGGTAGGCAACCTTGGCTCTTTTATGACTCATGGACTTCAACTCCCAGAATTCCTGAGCCAGCATGGGGGAACTATGGCCCCCTCATGACTGGTGGACTTCAATTCCCAGAATTTCTGAGCCAGTATGGCTCAGCTTGGAAACCTCTCCCTTTCCCCTCAGCATGGCTGGCTCAGGAATTCTGGGAGTTGAAGTCCACCAGTCATAAAAGAGCCAAGGTTGCCTACTCCTGGTCTAGAGGGCATCCTTGCAAACAAAGCCCACGCCACACTTGAAAAAGTTGCAGGGTACTAAATATATAAAGCAGTACTAATACGTGGAATATTAGTACCACTTTATAAATCTTTAGCAAGGCCCCACCTGGAATACTGCATCCAGTTTTGGTAGCCATATTACAAAAAAGTTGTTGAGACTTTGGAAAAAGCGCAAAGAAGAACAACTAAGATAATTAAAGGCCTGGAGACAAAAAACATACGAAGAACAGTTGCAGGATTTGGATATGGCCAGTCTAGAGAAAAGAAGGACTAGGGGGGACAAGATAGCAGTGTTCCAGTATCTGAGGGGCTTCCACAAAGAGGAAGGGGTCAATTTATTTTCCAAAGCCCCTGAAGGCAGGACAAGAAACAATGGATGGAAACTGATCAAGGAGAGAAGCAACCTGGAATTAAGGAGAAAGTTCCTAACAGTGAGGACAATTAACCAATGGAACAGTTGTCTCCAGATGTTGTGGGTGCTCCATCACTGGAGGTTTTTAAGAAAAGACTGGACAACCACGTGTCTGAAATGGTACAGGGCCTCTTGCTTGAGCAGGGGGTTGGACTAGAAGACCTCCAAGTTCCCTTTGAGTTCTATTCTGATTGGGGCATCAGGTGTGCAGTTCCAGATGTCATATTGCCTTTATTTTACTCCACCCGGCCTGCCCTGCGTGATACTATACAGTAGCTCAGGTCTTTGGACGTTGCATGCTGTATCAGCACAACAGCTGTGCCTTGCTAGTTAGAGGCGATTTGGAATCAAAGCCTTGGGATCGAGTCTTGCAGCAACTGAGCTGGCTCTAAGTTGGCATTGAAGCACAGTTTGAAAGGCTTAGTTTTGGGGGGGTGCAGAATGTCAGGCTCATTAACCCCTGTCCTCTCCAGCCCCTCGGATCTTCTGTTTGGTGGCAAGGTGAGGAGGCAGCCAAACCTGCCTCCACTCTTTTAGGTCCTGCTCCACTACACTCCCAGCACTTCCTCACTGTAGCCTAGATCAGAGCCTTCTCTGGAGCGGAGAGGACAATAGCCCCAGCATTTATAGAGGGACTTATATATCGCTCCATAGGGCTTTACAGCACTCTCTGAGTCACCATCTTGCCCCCCCCCCAACAATCTGGGTCCTCATTTTACCGACCTCGGAAGGATGGAAGGCTGAATCAGCCTTGAGGCCGGTCAGGATCAAACTACTGGCAGTGGGCAGAGTCTACCTTCAATGCTGCATTCCAACCATTGCGTACCATGAAAGGAAGGAAGGAAGGAAGGAAGGAAGGAAGGAAGGAAGGAAGGAAGGAAGGAAGGGAAAAGAAAGAGCAATGGTATATATACCATTTCACAGTGCTTTCCCTCTCTGAGCGGTTTACAGAGTCAGCCTATTTGCCCCCAACAATCTGGGTCCTCATTTTACCGACCTCGGAAGGATGGAAGGCTGAGTCAACCTTGAGCTGGTCAGGAGGATTAAACTACTGGCAGTGGGCAGAGTTAGCCAGCAATGCTGCATTCTAACCATTGCGTATCATAGATGGAAGGAAGGAAGGAAGGAAGGAAGGAAGGAAGGAAGGAAGGAAGGAAGGAAGGAAGGAAGGAAGGAAGGAAGGAAGGAGAGAGAAAGAAAGAAAGAAAGAAAGAAAGAAAGAAAGAAAGAAAGAAAGAAAGAAAGAAAGAAAGAGCAATAGCCTTTAGACTTATATACCAATTCACAGTGCTTTCCCTCCCTAAGCAGTTTACAGGGTCACCATCTTGCCCCCCAACAATCTGGGTCCTCATTTTACCGACTTTGGAAGGATGGAAGGCTGAGTCAGCCTTGAGCCGGTCAGGATCAAACTGCTGGCAGTGGGCAGAGTTAGCCTGCAATGCTGCATTCTAACCACTGAGCCACCAGGGCTTTCCCACCCTTTTCCTGAATATGCTAGGGACACCCCAAAAGCCTCTGGGTGCTGGCTAAGATTGTAGCCATGAGCTGGTTGGTGACTAATTAGTACTAAGAATTGTCCTGCTTTATCTCGTTTCCTGTTATTTGTGTTTTTATTGTTCAATACATGAAACGTGGGAAGCTGTCATAGTAGATGCACACCATATTTGCAAACACTGGGATCTCCTTGTGGATCTCAGCTCCTGGAGGAGCTGGAAATTCTTGAAAGAAACTAAGCAAGTTTCTAGCCCTCAGGGTTACAAGTAGAGATGTGGTCAACTCTTGTAGGATACAATTTGAATTCAGGCAAGCAGAGTCCAGGACTCTGTGCTAAGCAACTGCTTGTGTCCTAAAGATATGTTTTGTTTGTTTGTTTGGGTGCAGGAAAAAGGGGAGGATGCTGGTTTTTTGTCAGCACCTCCAAGTTGTTGTTTTTTTTTCAAACATTCTCCACATACCACC